AAGTATTTCAAACGCAGGAGTCTTATACGTCTTCTTGAGCAATTTCGTATGCAGGAGTGTGCAGTTCCACATGATCGTGTGTTCTCGCTGTTGGCGCTGTGTGGAGAAGGCTCGAATCTCAAGGTCGATTACGAAGTATCTGTCGAAGAACTATTGTGGAGGATATGTCATACCTGCACCTTCTGCCTTTGCTCCCTGGATATCGTAAGCCGCACACTGTTTCACGAAGACCACATATGGTGGAAAATCGACCGGCCAATGTCAAGCTTTATGTTCTTGCGAACATGTTACGCAGAAGTGAGGACGGACCACATTGAACAAAGGGGAAATTGCATCTTCTTTGCACATCCCCATCGATTTGATACCCCTAAATTCGTTACCCCTAGATTCGTTGAAGACAGCGAGACATATTCGGGAAAGAGACCAAAAGGTTCCTGTACGACATTCTTCATCCCGACTGGCTCTATCTGTACGAAGTATGGATGGGACGGCGATTGGTACTTGGCCCTGTGTGTGAGCTCTGATAGCGCCGGATTCGACTTCTATCACCTACCAGACTTTTACAACGGCTTTCAAGGCGCCTATCCGAACAGTTTGGAAGAAAGGAGATTGGATTTCAGAACTCGGCACTGGCCTGATGACCTGAGGGTAATCTACGACAAACGAGGATCCTGTACTATCCGTCTTCCGTTGGCGTTCTGGATTGAACTTATAAGATCGCGAACCCGAGAGGAATTAGATCCACCGGGGTATCTTCCTTGTGAATTTGAAGGACAACACGGCTTAAAGCTACCATTCACGTAGCCACGAGAAGCCATGATGATCATCTCGAGAAGATGCTTCCCTCCGGATTCCGGTATTAAAAGCAACAAGCAAGGTCGTAGATTGTCTTTTAGATTGACCAGTTTCTCGATGGTCTTCAAGGGCATTGCTATGAGTAGTGGACAAGATCGACGGTGGTGGGATTGAGAGTAGCGTCTGATCTGAGCCGTGTATGAAGAAGACGAAGAGCGATGTCTAGTGAACGCACATAGGAATCGCCTCACGAACGCGTGGTATCATGAGTCTACGGAGGCGATGGCCCTGGCTTTTCTTGTTGAGAGGCATTTGTCGACATGCAGTGGTAATGATCGGAGGGCCTATTCGAGTGGAGAGGAATTGGTAGCTTTAGTTCTTGCGCCTGCCTAGGCACGCGTGTCAGCATTCGCATTCGATTCCGCAGTTCACTTTGTGGGTATAACGAGGAACTTGTTTGTAGTTCGAGCAGAAAAATCCACGGTGCTCACGGCACCTGGCGAACAGTGTAGATGCGGTTTCCAATAAATCAATGTAGATTGCCACAAGTGCCTAGCGTACCAACGCAGAGAAGAATCATGTCCATATTCGACCGAATACGGGAGGCGAGGGTCTTGGTGGAGTTGCGCGGCGAAGCTGCGACCCTAAAGATTCGCCTAGTGGAAGTCTAAGCAGTAGGAAAGGACCGATGGAAAGATGGAGTTGTACCGAGGTTGAGCCTAAGAGTACTTTTTGACACTCAGCGACTCTTCAGGTGGCACAATGAAAAAGGTCTACATGTACTGCTGTAGAAGCTGTCAGGCGCAGGGCACAGCCGCTCGTGCAAGATGTTGCACAGTGGTACAAACACCTTGCAACAACACAAACACGAGCTCGCGATAACAGTAAAAACCCCTAGAATCATCGGATTACGATAGTTCGCAAGGCCTGGTAGATCGACAACGACCTGCATACCGCCATGAAGCCAATGGTGGAGCACCGGAGATTCCGATGCAAAGTACCCAGCCGTGAATACGAAGTTGCGTAGAAGCCGTAGAAGCTATGCTAAAAAGTGTGGGTGTACGAAGTCACAGTCCTAACGCAGGGCAAAGGCGACGGCGTGCGAGGCTGAGAGAGACCATTTTGGCGGCGGGCCACAATTAGAATTCTACCCGGCCTTGTTCGCTTGCAACCTCGATACCTTTTCCCCGTACGCCGACAACGTCATTTGCGTCGCTCAAACTCCGCGACGTTCTGTTTCGCCGTGATACGAAGCCCGTCATTACCGATGGGCGATCCCTGCATGCATCGCTGGCATGAAGGCGAAGTGTCGAGGTGCAGTACGAGATAGGAGCCGCGGAGTGAGTGGTGGTTCAAGGTGCGACACGCTGAAGCGAGACATGGCAATTGGTACAAATGCGCATGCTACATACGACACACGTTAATATAAGAGACGGATAACCGCATGGATGGGTGCAAGACAGCTGCTAGGTGTAGCGCACTGCTGCCGCGAAAGCCGGTTTTCCTTCTCTCGAATCATGCCCTTCAACTCGCCCGCGACGGGGGCGTCGATCGCTCGTATCGGCGGCATGTCACTTGAGCGCAGTAACAGTAAAAGGAGCTTGCTCTGCGCCACCAGCAGCTTCAAAGTGGTTCGCATTCCGGGCTGTATTAAAGGTCGACTGCGTTAGTTTCAGGTATGCGTGGCTTCGCTAAAGCCACAGTGCGCGACAATGGATCGGCGTGGTTGCGGGTTGGTACCACCTTTCATCGCAACCTTGAGGAGCGATACGGGGACCCGCTTTGGAACTAGCGCAAGGGACCGCTATATCCGATGACCTCACCGTGACCTGCCACTCACTCGGTAACTAGACGAACGAATTGCGAGCAACCGAGGGGGGCGTATGCGTTGTGGAGAAAGAAGTTTAATTGGACGAATGGGGTAAAGTTTGCTTTTTTGCGGTTGGGTGCTCGTTCGGTGTATATCCAGGATGAGAGCGACAGGGCTTGGATGGCGTGCAAACGGCGTCGGCACAGAGTCGTGTGTGCGATCATCGTGCAGTCGCCTTTCTGTTCCTTGTCTTTGATCTCCAGCTACTGGCCGTCTCCATGACCTTGTCCTTTCTTGCACTCTCACTTCACTTACCCTTACTCTGAGCGAGCTCCACTTGACATTTGAAATCACAACGTCGACCGAGTGCGAGGATTGATTGAGGCGTCAAAGCACCGCTCTTTTCACCGAGCAAGGGATCCATTCTGGACGAAAGCGCATCATGCCTACACTCGTGTGGTTGCGCGCTGCTGCCGTCGCTGCTCTTGCGGCTCATGCTACTGCCCAGCAATGCTGTAGGTATCCCGTGTATTGTCGACGAACAACGGCTGACCGAACAGACTACCCCAATGGCAACAAAGCCCCAGACACAGAGAAGCCCTGCTCATCAGCAGAGGGTTCTGCTTGCTGTCCGGATAGCTGGGAGTGTCTCGACAATGGTCTCTGCCACTATCCCGCCAATAACTTGTACGGCCGATATAGCTGTACAGACAAGACGTGGAAGTCGGAAGGATGTGCTTCGAACATGTGCACATACGGTAGGAACGCCGACTTGTTAAACTGAACATGACTGACGTACAACAGGTATGACAGTCGGTGGTGGCGAGTCGATAAAGCAGTGCGCCGATCACGACAACCAGTGGTGCTGCAACGCAGACGACACAAACGTAAAATGCTGCCAGGAATCACCGTCACCACGACCTTTTTTCGCGCTGCAAAACGGAAATGCCTATGCGACGATTGGCTCAAATCAAGCGTCGACTAACCCCAACATCGCCACCATTACTGGCCTCGCGACGAGTGGTGGATCATCAGGAGGTGGAAACTCAGCATCGCAAACTTCAGCGCAGCGGTCTTCAGCTGCTCCTTCTACGACCGGCGATTCAGATTCGGGAACTGCAACGCCAAACTCGGTTACGACTACGCCTACGCCTTTTAGCTCCGTTGCGACGAGCCTTTCCACAGGCAGTGCGGGAGTAGTCACGATTGAAAACACCATTCTCGTTACCCCGACTGCAACCGCCGGCTCAAGCAACGACAATGCCAATGGAGACTCTGACAGCGGATCGAGCTCGAACCTAGGTCTTATCATCGGTTGCGCAGTCGGCATTCCCCTCGCACTCGCTCTCCTCGGTATAATCTTCTGGCTCCTCCGCAAGCGTCGCCAACAAGCCGCCAACCCGTACAAAGAAGCTTCGGAAATTGGAGGAGACAGCCCGCTCGTCGGCGGTGCCGCGGCAGCAAAACTCAGCAAGAAAGAGACGTACCGAAACTCGCGACCCGCCACGGCAGAGATTGATGGTAACCCCGTTGGAGCCGGTCAGCCAAATCGCGTCTCTGAACTTCCTTCCGGAAATGGTTTCCAACCGGGACAGGGTGCTCCCTACGGACCTGATGCTGTTGGGATTGGTGGTGGTAATGGGAATAGGAGTACGTGGGATAGCCAACCACCTCAGTACTCGCCTGCACAAGCAGCCTTCAGCCACCCCGATGCTGCGGAACTGCCTGATAATAGTGTCCATCCTGTCCTTAATGAGAAGGGGCAGCCGTATCAACCGTACAGGCCTCCACAACCTGTGGCTGAGCTGCCGTCTGTTACAACGCCGCCTGAGGATCTGGAGAAGCAGATGCCGAAGCGGTAGAGGGGGGTTGTTCACTTTTCCAGACAGGCGTTTCTTTGGGAAGGCATTAACATATACATGATGTGGCTACTGCAGCCTTTCTTTTCTTTTTCTTTTGGCAAAATATAGGGAAGATACCATGCACGAGAATTTTGTGTATAATGAAGGAGGGTAGCGATGCCTTCAAATACAGATATAGATTCAGATTAGCAAGATGCTGTTCTGATCTTGAAATGCAGAATTTATGTGACTGCAAAGACGTTTCTAGCAACTTGTGACGACTAGTTTAAATCAGAGGATTATACTCATTTTACTTGGACATGGACATCAGCCCTCGCCAGAAAATGTCGAGTGCGAATGGGGGAAGGCGGTGTGTGGGGGGGAAAAGGGCAGCGAGTCATGTCCGTCGGCGGCATGTCGTCAGCCCTTGAGCCCTTGAACCCGGAGAAGGTGTGGGGGGACTCGAAGATGCCCAAGATAACGCGTGTCGCAACCATCATTGTCGCTCACACGTAGCATTAGAGCGCCCATCCGTTTCTTCCTTGTCTATCGCCATGATCCACCTGCCCGACGAGCTCATCCTCAACATAATCTCTTACCTCGAACCCGCCGAGCTCGTCAACCTCCAACACGTCTCCCGCGCCTTTCTTTCCCTCTCGCGCGACAACAATCTCTGGAAGTCTCTCTGCTTCTCCCATTCTGCCGCTGAACGCCGTCGCCGCCGCCTCGACATCACGCCTGCCGACATCGACCCCCGACTCGCTGAGCTCATACGCGCCGCCGATACTCTCTCCAACACATTCGATACCTCGGTGCACGACACAGATGCGCCGAGCGCTGACGTACAGCAGCAGAGGAACGCCGGCAGGAGACGCCAGGCGTTGATAGCCAACTGGGATCCTAGTTATCCTGACGAGAGGGTGAATTGGTACGACGACTTTATTCAGAGGCATGCCGAGCCAAGGCTGAGTTGGTTTCAAGATGCTGGGACCGAGGGGAAAGAGCATGGGGATGTGAGGAGGGAGGCTACGGGCGCGGGTGTCTTGTTCGATCAGCATGGCCTGGCGGATAAGCTTGTCGCGCCCCTAGACGATGGCCGGATATGTATCTGGGACGCCTCTGCAGCCAGCGACCGCCAGGGAACCCTGATTGCCAAGTCTGATATCGGGTTACTGGCGAACCGGGGAAGCGATCTGGACTACGACACGAGACTTGGGCAGAGCCACGCCATCATGACGGAAACGGGTGCGGTAGAGTGCGTGAGCATAGACAGCAAGTTGGCCAAAGGCTTCTTCGCTGTCAAGAACGAGCTGGTCGAGACAGATCTGAATACGCTTCAAATCGTCTCGCGCACGCCGTATCCGTTTCCCATCACCGCGCTGAGCGAAGCACATCACAGCACGCCCTTGACGATTGGAACAAACTGGACGCTGCATCTGCACGATAGCCGGAAACCGCCTGCGCCACCTTCTTCTTCGGTGCGTTGCGAACTCATTGGCGGACCGGCAGATAACGACTTCTCGCGCCTCGATACCGGGGACCTACACGGCCATGTCAGCCTGTCCCAGCCCGGCGCGCTGTCTATCCTCCATCTGCCCACGACGCGCGAGTGGGACGGCAACGGCGATATCTGGGTCGCTGGCCGCTTCACCTCGATGCTAAACTTTGATCGGAGATATTTTCCCCGTCTGCGCGGTACTGTGCACTCGGGCGCTCGTCTGTCTTGCCTTGCTGCCTTCCCTCACCCTTTTGTGCCGCATCATCTGCGTCTTGGTACCCCTTACGCCAATCCGTCTCTCCTCCACGACGTCAAATCTACAAGGGGGTTTACCTTGATCGCAGCGGGCGAGTACAAGGGTAAAGGCAGTCTGGAGCTGTATGGTCTATCTGGCGAACCGGAGAGGAGTATCAATTCGAGCGATAGCCGCACGACAACATCCGGGGGCCGTGGCGGTCGCTCAAAAGCATACTATCAAAACCGGCAGACGGCTAGTAGCTCCAAACTCTTGTCTGTGGCGCCACATGGGACTCGTCTGGTTTTTGCAGATGGAAATGGAGGATTGAAGTGGGTGGAGAGGGACGGCTCGACGCCTGTGAGGCAGCTCAATATCAACGATTTTCAACGACGGCCAAAGGATGGTTCTGTTTCTACTCTGGAGCAGCAGCATGATCATGGTAACCTCGTAAACGCGACGCCAGATTCAGAGGCCAGTTGGGGCGACATTGTCCAGAAGATTCTTCCTACTACAACAACAACATCCCAATACGCACCAGAGTCTACCGAGTCGTTCTCTTGCCTAGGCCTGAATAACCTGGTGCTATGGACGGGGGATGGAAGATTGGGGCTTTTGGGCTTTGGCAAGGAGCCGCCCATGGCGAGGGATGTTTTTGAGGATGCGTTGGAAGTACAGGGGGAGAGTATGGAGGGGGGACACCAAGGGGACAAAGTTAAGGAGAGGCAGTATGACGTGGAGATGAGGAGGGCGTTGGAGCAGCAGGCTAGGGAGTTGAGGTGGTTGAGGGGATATGGGCTTTAAGAGAGGATGGTTGGGTTGGGTTTTGGTGGCTTTGTGTGCGCTAGGCGATGTAGAAGATGAGTTGAGTATGCAATGTCATGCGAGATGTACGGAATACCTATCCTGATAATGTCAGCTGAGATTATGCATTGCTTCACGGACTGCAGTGTTTTGCAACGCTGCAGTACGCTACGATTGCTACAAGTTTGCCCACGACAGTTTCGAGTCAGTCACTCTACCCCTACTGTCAAGACTCCAGATATCACACAAGATGAGATAAGCGCACCTGTCCTCTCTCTCCCCCCTCATACAACGGCGGCATGTTAGACTTTGGCTCTTTTCACACACCGAGTCTTTTGACTATACCCACTTCGACCTACCCGACCTACGGAATCAACGCTCTCCAGCTTAAAGAACGTAGTCAATATGGCTACATGTATCATATCCCGTTGCGTATATCAATAGGCTCGGAGACACTTGTCAAAGTCACTGTCAGTCGACGGTCAGACTATGAGCCCCAGTAAGTACATCGTCTGCTCGAAACGAAACACCCAATTCAAAAAGACTTGCTTCTCATATTTCAAACGATTTACTCAAACAGGGACGTGAAAGTTTCAAGGCTAGCGTACTGCTAGAGTTCCTTTGGCACCACTGTTTCTCGCCATCAACGTTTCCTACGGGAAATGCCGAGTTGATTCCCAAACGTCAAACGATTGTTCTCCAGTGGTGGAGCAGGGTTCCGCACTCTATCCTCAGAGGTTAACTGATACTCAGGGTAATCCGTAGCTGGCCATGTAAAGTCACGATCAAGTACAATGGCTCTGGAGGCGTATTCTTTCCAGGCAAACGTCACATGTCCTACAGAGTTCTTGCATTGATCTTGACGTCGATGCCAATTTGCCACTACTTCTCCCCTATCTTAGCAGTCGGCTCTCTGTGACCTAGCTGTAGTAGCATGATCAACGTAAGACGGTGTACCTTGCTTTTCCGCTCGAGAGAACCGCGTAGCACATGTTCTAGCTTCGCCAAAGCTCGCGCGTCTCTTACGTCATCAATTCACTCTGCCAGAAGAAGCCCTAGCTCCATCATTGGAGTTCTTTTGCGGTGGTCGATGCGAATCTGAGAATTCCAGGAATTGCAGGAGCTCAAGATTGTACTCGAGTTTGAGTCGGGAGAAATGACCGCTTTGGAAGGTTCGCGCATCAGCGCAGTGCCCTGGAACTGAGAGATGACTGAAAGTCTAGCGGGAGAATGAAGCGACATCGAAATACTAAAAGGGACTAAAGTTAACATTTGCCGCGACTCATACTAGTACAGCATTGTCGGTGAGTACGCCGTAGGTACAAGAATATTCTATATGGGTAATGGGATATTGCGGCCTGTGTATTGTAAGTGTAATCTCCCAACTAACACAGTTGAACATGGAAAGTGATTAGACACATGGTGAGGTTTTGTTGTACAGAATTTTAAGTGCCTGTCAAACATATCAGCTGACTGGAGTACGTTGCAGCACATTCGGCCAGTGAAGACAACCCCATATCGACACTCAGCGACCATACATGTATATCTCGTAGCATCTCTGAACGCTCGACATCAAACTCATCCCTGGTAGACTCAATCCTTCTTCACGCTCTCATCTTTGGAGTCGCTCTTCTTCTCTTCCTCTTTGTCACCGGAGCCGCTGCCACTGCCCTTGTAGTGACTACCTTCTTTTCCAGGCTCGAAGACCGTGTTACCTGGCGCTGATTCAGAACGGATAACCTCCAACGTCAAGTGCACAGGACATACAGGAAGCGCAATGCGCCCAAGCACCGTCTTTCGTCAAGTCAGCCCCTGCGTCACACTCTGGACACTGGACCATGGCAAATCCTTCAGGACGAATTTCGGTGGATGGAGAACGATGGAATGTAGGATGTGGTTTATAATCGATGTTCGGGTTGCCATGTTGCGATAGAGTTTCAATGCAAAGTTGTGTAGTCGCGCTAGAGTGAGGGGCATGATGTCATAGACCAATAGCATCTCGCGGAGCCTCTTCATACACATCGGACACCAAGCCGGTAAATCCTTCTTGAGAGCTGAAGTTCGCAGAAGAAGGCCCGAAGTTGGGCTTACATTCTTCCATCGGTAATTTCTCATGCAGTGGTTGAGCTGGCGCGTTACGGACGATACGTAGCGTGAACGCCAACAGCCGTGCAGCATGCGACAAGTATGGCGCAGATACGACTTTTGGTCCTACAATGCAGAGCTTGTGGATATTACCAGATTTTGAATCCTACTTTTGTGCCAAACGGTTTGCCTGAACCATCCACACAAGTCAACAAGGTATCCAATTTCTCGCGATCCGCCCTCTTCCGCCCTCCGCCCCGTCCAATCTTTCGGCGTTCCTGCACTCCCAACAACTAGCATCCCTTTGTCTTGCGCAATGCAATCACCCCACCACCGTTGACTCGCAGACAAACTCTCCATCCTCATGGATGCCATCGCGACTCAGACCGCTAAATGCCACCAATAATCGCGCTCAGCTGCAAATCCTCAGATCACACCATGGGCGCGCGCGCGGACACGGTAAGCACGTACTGCCGCTGGACCAGGCCTAGACGGCAATGCTTCTTCAACCGATTGGTCGGAAGTGCGAAGCGAAGTGAAGAATTGAGTGGTAAATCTCTTGTTACGAGATGTGCATCCTTATTGCAGCAGCAATATATACACACAGCAGTCGGCTGTGGCGTGTGGCAATGCTATATTCTTCGCCTTTTTTTGTTTCTTCCTTTCCTACTCATCTGGTCCCTGAAGTCGTTGCGACGGGCCAAGATCCGGGGGAAAAGGCTTTGTAACATTCACCGTTGACGTGCATGCAGAGCATAAATGTGCTCGCGGGCGGAGCTGCCAATTCAAAGGGGGAGGATGATGCTAACCCAGCGAAACGAAGCCATTGCTTCAGCTGCTCCGGGTTCGTGAATCATGCCACGCGACTACCCGCTTGCGATAGCCTCACTATACCCAGCCGAGCGAAGCCTCTAGACCAAAGACAGCCTAACACTCGCGTGGAAAACGGCTCATCCGCAACTGCACCTGGAGATGGATGCCCGAGAGGCCATTTGCGTATCAAAGCAACGGTTCCCTCCCCACTGAATCTGCATTGCGCAAGCTCGTCTCCGCGCCAAAGGATCCAAAGTTTGAACTTTGAACCTTGTGTACCTGCAGGTGGTAAATGGTACCTTCAAGAGGGCATACGGCCGGGCGCCTCCTCAGTCCATGGCCTGCCTGTCAGAAAGCGGGATGTACGACGCGTGCAGCCTCCCGTATATAGCGTCGATGGGCCGGATTCCGAGGTGATAAAGTTCGAGTTTCTTCATTAATCAGGCACAGTGCGTCAAGACCCTCTCTTTCTTCTTCTCATTCATCTTCTCGTTTCGTCAATCCGCGGAGTGCAACTACAATTTAGTCGACAGGTGTGCTGCTCTAGTACACATAAGTCTTGCGAGGAATCCCTGAGTAATTCTTCAAAGCCCATGACAACTAGACGCACATAGTGTGTAAGACGGTTACGATACCCCGGACGCCTACATACCTTTCTTCCCACCTCAAGTTGACGACCAACTACACGCCACAATGTCCAGCTCCATGGCCGTGCCGCCTTACTCCAACAAAGCTGCCATTTACCTTGGACCCGTTATTTCCTTTGGAGTCGTCGCACTTTTCCTGGTCATTGCGCGTATCTATACACGCGTAAAGAGGACCGGACAGCTGTATCTCGATGACTGGATCATCGTGGTCGCGGAGCCAATGTCCTTAGTCGGCATATGTTTGGCCATCGCGTCGACCGCGTACGGATGGGGTAAACCAGCAGCATTCTTCACACCCGAGACGCTCAAGCAGACACTAAGGGTCCAATTCGCGCTCCAGACCGTGTGGCTCCTGACGCTATGGCTCGTTCGACTGTCTGTCGCGTGCTCGCTACTGCGTTTTGGAACCGAAAGACTGTGGCGATGGCCATTGTACTTCATCATGGGTCTCCAGACGGTCATCTCCTGGGGCTACTTTGTGATTCAGTTTGCACAGTGCACACCCATCAGCTCCAACTGGGATACTGGTATCTCTTCCAAATGCTGGAACCTGGATCCCATCATCCTCTTGGGATGGGTTATCGCTGGTAAGAAGTCCATCCATGCCACCGTCAATGGGCCCGATTAACCGTTCTGTTAGGTGTTTACATCGCTATGGATCTTACTCTTTCCCTCATGCCAATCCGCTTAGTTCGTACCCTGAACCGTTCTCAATCGGAGAAGATGCTCATCGGCGTCCTAATGGCCCTCGGTCTTCTTGCAACGGCAATTAACTGCGCCAAGATGACAACATTCACGTCTTTCGGCCAAGGTGACGTGATGCAGGCTACCATCGTGCCTTCAATGTGGGCCAAGCTGGAAGAGGAGATTGGCATTATCGCTACGTCGCTTCCCTGGCTTAAGAGCCCAGCTGAGAATTGGTTGAAGAAGATGGGCATATTGAAAGAGCATCAGCTTACCAAGCCGAGTTTTGTGGCTGACATGAGCTTACCGACCGTCAAGGACAACGTCGAGGACATGAACAATGATGATGACGCGGACAGTGCGAAAGTAAAGGGAAATATTAGAGTGGATTCAGTGGCTACTGCACTCGGTACCAAAGGCTCCGACTCAAGCCTACCAAAAGATCCAAACAGCAATACCTGGCAGGCTGTCTGATTGCGACGACGTTTACGATTTTCATCTCGAATGCATGCCGAATATCTGGGCTTTAGCGTGGCGTTGTGGCGTTGTTGAGGGTCATTCGATCAACTCTACGGACTTGACGAACATATACGGGCATAGACTACCTCTATACATTACGCGACGGTATACATGCCCCCTAATACTATCAATCTCGAACCGAACAATGACTTTTGCATGTGTGAAGCGTAAGAGTTGGTGATGCCGCACTTCGGCGATATTCGTGCGAAGCTCTGCGGAAACTCGGCTTGTTAGGTAAGGAAAACTTTTAGC